CACCAATGTATGCTCATTAAAAAATAATTATATGCATTGTGTATTCCATGAGGTCAAAAACGACTGTTTCCTTTATAAAAAATTGTGGAGCCAAAATGCTCTAATTTTTATTCAAAATCATTTCGAACGGTAGTAGAGAAATGTGAAGAGAACGTCAAAAAAATTAACTTAAAGGGCTCCTATATATTGAATAGCATAATGTGATATAATAATTGTTGAAGACATATTTTATCTATCAAATATCAATTTTACAATTAATGAAAATTCTAGTTGGTTAAAATATGACAGCCAATACTACAGTTGAACTGAGCAACTATCATTTTCTAAATGTAAATGAAACCAATTCCTTATCAAAATCTAAATTTTAATCATACTGGAATAATTAGCGGATTCTCCATATTTGGCTTAATCATTGTTGTTGGAGTAATTTATCTTATACACAAATGTTGTCTAAAAGACTAGCTCATTGGAAAGGGTTCTGATCCTCCTGTAATGGAAATAAATATTTCTGAAACTGAAAGAAACCGAAACGAGGACGTTTCGATCTAAGGAGGGAAGAGTTATGTGCTTTGGCTCACTCTATACAATATAATTATTATATTGCATCATCTTGGCGTTATCTTGTATCCTTCTATTACCGTTGTTAGAAAACTTAGAATTATCTCACACATGCAACCTGATACGTCCTCCATGCTTCTTATGTGTGTATTCCTATTATACGACTTTGTACCTTTTGTTTGGCAATCAGATAGCTATCAACTTTTGTAGTGGTAGTTAGATTTATCAGCGCCCCTGCAAACATAATTTAGGTAATTTTATTTGGCTGTTGACTTAGCCAACAAGATGAAAATGGTCCTCATGGGAGTCCCCGTCCAAGCGTCCAATTTTGAGCGCTTTCTAATTTTTTTCAAGCGTATATCGATCCATATTCGTTCACTGCAACCTCTTTACTAAATTCCTGTCAAAACAGAACTGATGTAAGTGTTGTCAACCGTGAGATAAGCCCTAGTTCAAAATTAACCAACAGATGGATCACCCTATATCTAAGAAATATAAAGCAGTGTTTTTTTTGTCGGATAAGGATTAGTTTCTGAAACATATACATGGTTTCTCTATTAACTTTCAAATTCAAAGTTTGACCGAAAGTTATCGTTCCCCTATCGCAATAATATTTATTTTTTGAGTTGTTAGAGTCTAATGGAAAAAATTGGAGGGTATGCGTTTGAAAAAAAAAACTTAATTTTTTTTGGACACCCTAATGTCCAACCTGCTTTAAAATGTAGTTATACGAGCACCAGCCTACACTTTGACAAAGTGCTCGAACTAATGTAGCGTCAAAGCGAAAAAATCACGTTTAGGCGCCCTATCCTGATTGACGCACGTACGTGAAATTAGATGATGGAGGGTTGGCCTGCAGCGCTGCACGTGCCGATTGATCACATTGGGCACGGGAAGCGACGCAAAAATACAAATAAAGGACGCCTCGCTTTGAGAACTTTATTGCCGAAGGGCGACGTATTTCATTTCATTTGAGGGGCTCTGTTGAACAGTGTGAATGGCTCTTTAATAGATTTGCTTTTAATTGATTCCCAAGCATTCTCATTACCGCAATGATTTTTTTTAAATACTCTAAGGCCCAATTTCACCAACAACAGTCCGTTATTCTCCACCTATAGGGTAACAAACCGTCAGATACAGCGAATGAGCTTCAAGTTCCAATCAACAAATATTAGCAACCAATAGCTATGAAATGTTGAAAACATAATACTGTCAAAGTATGAGATGACAACTTGGCATTGAAACATCACCAGCTTATTGAATATTAAGAAATTACATATATTTTAGTCACAATTTTAAGAAATGTTTGATTTTTGAATTAAATTCATGTTTTAATTACTATTGTTGATTTTTTATTCATGTTTATATTATTTTCTTCAATCGATATGTGATACTGGGTGTTTTTCCTATAAACCTCTTGCAGATAGCCATTAAGCACCTACTTGACGACAGGCTCTACCAAAAGATATTGCTCGTTTCCAAACATTCATTAATTTACTTGCCGTTCATCAGAACCATTATGGCACCTTAGATTGATATTCCCACAAAACCATTCAGGTTTTTTGATATCCATAAATCCATAAAGTTGAATATTTTTCGTTGTTCAGGAACTGAACAAACATCCACACTATATTCACAGCGATTAATAAATTCCCAAATATGCGCCTTAAAGCTACCATCAAACCTAAAACCTGCAAAAAAAACTACAAATTTGCCATATTTGTCTTTATTCACGAGTACACATTCTAGGTTATATTTATATTAGACATTACTTGAATACAGCTGATTATTGCATTTCAAGGAGCGACACATGTGTGGGATCTGTCAACTCTTGGTACCAGTCACAAAACATATTGTACTCTGAAGGTTTAATTCCATGCTATTCAATGACAACACGGTGACTTGTGTGGTTATCAGCGGCCATTTTGTGAGGGTGCGACAGGGTTGCCAGATTGTGCATTAATATCCCGTTTCACCCTCCTGGTCCCAGTGGAGTAAGTTCCGCCAACTGTTGAAATATACTCTACTATGCTTTATAAGACTATTCCTCACCGACAAGGGACCAGCCCACTCGATGTAGTACCCACTCGAAAAACGCGTTCTTTCTGACGGACCCTGTATATAGGAAGTGGAGACTTTATAGTATTTGGAAATATCCTAGTTTGTTTATTGGTTCATTTATAAAATCCTCACCATTGGGATCTCGGAAACTGTACCATACAAAGTCGCTTAAATGGGACCAGTTGCGTATTTAGGTAATCAGCAAAATGCCGCTCAGGTTTCCAAATTTAGAGTACTTCCGGAGAGACATGACAAAAAACGAAATATCCTTTAGCACAAGGGCGTTATCCCTTGAGATGGGCATATCACGAACTACGGTTCAAAATATTTTGAAGGACCATAGGTAAGTTCTAATGGCCATCAAAATATAGGGATTTATTTGAATTTAACTTTTTTTAAATTACTTTTAGAATGCACCCATATCATGTCGTTCTGCAATAGGCCTTGAAAGAGGAAGACTGAGCGGAGGCTGCACTATTGCCATTGCCTCCTTTAATAGTGGCGGGGAGTCAATCTGCACAATCTGCGTTATTGGTCTGCAGAAAATCGGTATTGGTTGCGTTGGTGAAGTTCAGCACCAAGAGCGTTGGAGTTTAAATGTGTGGTGTGGCATATTGGGAGGCAGAATTATTGGGCCATATTTTTTCGAGAACTCCCTAAATGACAATTTCTTTCTTATCTTTTTGAACAATCAATTACCGTTGTTGTTGGAAGATGTGCCACTGGAAATATAAATATCATTGGGCCAATTTTCTTCAACGAAAACGAAACAGTCGATGGAAATCGATATCGGTGGATGTTAGCTTATTATGTCTGCCCGCAAATGCGTGAAAAAGGTCTTGATGGTTACTGGTTTCAACAAGACGGTGCGCCATGCCACACTGCAAATAAAACAATCGAGTTTCTGCAACGAAAATTCCCTGGACGTCTGATGTCAAAAAGAGGTGACATTGACTGGTCACCCAAGTCTCCAGATTTGACCCCACCGGACTTCTTCTTGTGGGGTTATTTAAAAAGTCAAGTATACGCCAGCAAGCCCCAGACCACTGAAGGACTCAAGGCTAACATTCGTACCGCAATCGCCGCTATACCACCAGAGATGCTCGAAAAGGTAATGGAAAACGCGGCAAAACGGGCACATTTTGTTTTGGCCAATAAATGTGGCCACTTGATAGATGTTATGTTCAAAAACTAGTTCCAATAAATTGTAAAGGACCATATTTAATAAAGATACCCGATATATGGAAATCAGTTTTTCGTTTTCAAAGTTATTTCATGTTTACATACCGACATAAAAGATGGCGCACCCTGTACGTAACATATCGAGAGCCGCAATTCAAGCTGCAGTTTTACCTACCTATGAGAGGCTTCCTTTTTGAATCGGTCCTTTTTAGGGCCATAACTTAATAATAAAAACAAATTCCAGAAAGATTAGTTTAAAAAGTAAAAATTTAAGCGGCTCCCGTATAAACCTTTATTCGGACAAAATTTTAGGTTAGGAGCAAGATATCGACGTGCGGCTTCACGAGCTTGTTTAGACATCATTTAGCTACTTTTTCATAAAAAGATCATACCAATGCATTTAATTTTCTTGAGAAAATTATCATTTCTGTCGGAATGTCGAAAAAACCCTCTAGCGGCCACATATCAAACTAACAAAACTTTTAATATTATAACATTTGTAGCCCAAAAGTAGCTCTTTTCAACTAGCCGAAGTTTGTTAAAATCGACTCAGCCGTTTCGAAGATACAGGGTGTTTTTTTACGGAGTATCCCACTTTATTTTTAGAGATACAGCAAAAAGGTTAGAAAAGGGTAGAAGGTTCATTCAAAAATAACAGAATAAGTTCTTGTAAATAGGTGTTCAAAGATGCTCCGCTACCGAGATACAGGGTGAGTCTTATTTACGAAATTGAAATTAAAATATATATTTACGGAGCGAGTAAAGATACTGTGTTAAGATCTTAGACGTTCAGTGAACATATCAAAAGCAATAAACACACCGAGTTTTCCGGCCCAAACTAAACCAGGGACGTAGAAACTGGGGTACTTGGACACCAAATAGGAAATCTTTTCTACGCCACTGGCAGATCACCTGTTTTGTAGATATTCAGGTTTGAACATTTAAGGTAAAATCCCAAAATATTCTTATAAACAGGTTTAGCCTCCCCTAAGTGTACAGTGGCGATCATGTATTTTTTTGTTAATCCCCCAGACTTTTACGCCTCTATATCCCGGATCCTATTCCAATGTAACGCGCAGAAAATCCTGTGGCGACTCCGCTGAAAGGATCAATAGGAGGCTCGAACCGACCCGCCCAACGCTGAGAACGACCGTCGGGACGCAGGCGCCTTTCCCGCTAAAAATCGATAATGGCGTGCACTTACGCATCCCATCACGCCTGAGGACCACGCTGATCAGTGTCCTTTAAGTTTCGGCATCGCCTTTTGTTGTTGTGCTAATACGGTGATTAATCCTGGTTGACAGGTAAGAATACTTTAAGATTGTCATTCTGACTAGCATAGTTCCACTTTGCAGCTTCAGCTGCCTATTGCAAATGCTCTGATGAGCTGCGGATCTCATGGAATCCATGTTTTATTGATCTGTGATGCATAGGAATTTCTTAAGGGATAGTTTGGAAAGGTATAGGCTTGATTTGAAGAATGTTTGAAGTCACAATCTGAGATGACTTTCTTCATGAGGCATGTCTTACATTCATTTGGTACTTTAAAATTTATGACAACCATCCTGAATAAGCACCTGCTATTGGTAGAATCTTCCAATATTTGAAAGTTGCCTTTTTGATGTAGCTTCTAATGCTCAATTTTTATTGTAGTGGAATCAGTCAATGTTTAAAAAGATCTTGAAATGTTTCCTTCCCGTTTCTAAAAAAAATATTTCAGTTACTTGTTTTGATAGAGTGAGGGGGTAACATTAGAAACGAGGGTTTCTCACACAAAGGTCATTGAACAACCTAGTAAGCTCTGGTATTTTTACTTGTTTCATTATTCGAATATAAACGGGCTTCTAATGTTCAATTTTTCTTGTAGATTAATCAGCCAATGTTTAATAAAATATTGAAATGTTTCTTTCCCGGTTGTAAAAAAATAATTTTAGTTACTTGTTTTGATAGAGTGAGAGGGTAACAGTAGGAGGGAAGATTTCCCACACAAAGGTCATTGAACAGCCTAGTAAGTCTGATACTTCAGCTGCCTTTTGCAAATGCTCTGATGAGCTGTGAATATCATGGAATCAATGCTTTATTGATGGATAGGAATTTCTCAAGGGATAGTTCGAGCAGGCATATATTTGATTTGAAGAATTTTTGAAGCCCCAATCTACGATGAATTTCATGAGACATTACACGAGTCCATTTGGTAGTTTGAAAGCTATGACAACCATCCTGAACAAACACCTGCTATTGGTAGAATCTGGGGGGGAGTGACATCAGAGACTCTGACATAAAAATTAAAAACATGACTGGCGGACTAATGGCAGATGACAACCCTACCCTTGTACCCTTAGGGTACAGCCTAAAATTGATTAAAATATTAAATCTAATTTAAAAATGAACAATTTATTGTTTAAATAACAAATTTAATTCTTCTTTTTTGTCTTCTTGCGAATCGATTAATATTAATACTTACCTTTGAATCCAGTGCAACAACTTTTTTGTGGTTTTGTCCGTCACAGTGGCAGATTTAAGTAATGGTATAATGGACATTGCCGCCTGGACCCACCAAGGAAGGGTGGTCACTTCACTGGGATTTATTTAGATTTACGTTCGTTACGTTTTGCCGTTGTTTCCGTCTGAATAAGAAATAGATCTCATTTCCGTATGAAAACAAAAAAAAATGGAAATGATTCAGACTTAACCGAGTTCAAAAGGATTAGTCAACACAAAACAGGCTTACGGTTGATATATTGAAGATACACAAGAGTCACTTTTTATTAATCGAAAAAGGTTTTGGAACTTTGTTCATTCCAGACACGGCATAACCAGGATTTCTGGAGTAATTTATTATGACGATAATGAACTGCGGGACCCTGAAGGCATAGCTTTTGCAGAATTTTTTGAGAGTGTATATTCTAATGCTACTTTCAACACCAATAATGCTACCGATAAGAGCTCATTATTTAATTTTACTCCTATCCAGGAATCTAAAGCTTTGTCCGCTATTAAGAAACTGAAGAACAAAATGACATTTAGTCAGGACAATATACCATCATTATATGGTATACCAGGGCAACTGCCTCAGCGATAGTTACTCCTCTCACGTTTTTATACAACTTACGCTTAAATACGAATTCTTTTCCAATTTTCTAAATAAGCGGAAAAAGGCGAAAGTGTGTCCTGTATCTAAGAGTGGTGACAAAAATAATATTACTAATTATACGCTTGTGTCAGTTGTTTCTATGATTGCAAAGATATCACTAATTTACTAATAGTTACTCAATACGTATCAGAACCTCTTGATGATAGTAGCCACTTAAACGTAATATATACGGATTTTGCCAAAACTTCTGATACAATTGATCATAGCGTTTTGGTTGACAAATTAATAGATGATGCTGTGAATCTCTTAACAGATAAGAAACAACTTGTTTCGTATACTGTATAGCACAATATCTAACGTCACTGATTGCTTGAAACTTCAGAGCCAGCTTGACCTGATTGAGAACTGGTGTAACGATAATAAATTAACACTAAATGTAGACAAGTGTAAGGTGGTGAGTTTCACACGAAAAAGAGAATTCATAAATTTTGAATATAATTTTGATGGAAAGAACCTGAGAAGATGTACAGAGGTTAGGTTATTTTCGATTGTGAGTTGTCTTTTTCTAAACATATTGAGAAAACTGTATAGCTTTTGATAAGGAATTGTAAAAGTTTTGACAATATCAGAACCATTAAAATACTTTACTTACACTAGATCGAAACTTGAATATGCCAGCGAAAACTTCTTAAATTTGTCGCCTTTAAAGTTGACGGCATTTATTCCAATAGAGGAATCAATAATTGTAAACTACGTAGTAGATTTGAAATAACTATTTGATAGCATAGAAGACACTTTACGGCGGCGTTGTTTTTATTTAAATTGCTGGAGTTGATTGTTCTGATGTTCTGAGGCAAGTTGCTCTTGCTTTGCCTACATATATCCATCTAGGAGTAATGTCACTTAAGCTACCTAGGAATAAGACTAATATGTTATTTAAGTCTCCAGTCTGTGTTATTTGTGATAAAACTGTATCTCCAGCCGTTGTGACATATTTTTCTGTACAATGAATGAGTCTATCAGAACAGCAAAGATGTTATGGAATTAATTTTGAATCCTTGTTTTTGGTTTAATTATCTGCATCTCTGTCTAGGGCAGGGTTTTCCAACTTTTTTTTGTTTGTTTGAGGCTCCCCGGATTATAAATTATACTTTCATGCCCCCCCTTTAATGTTTCAATAAATACAAAAAATGCAAATTAAACAGGTACATTATTTTATTTCTAATGAAGAAAGTTTAAAAGTTTAAATAAACTAATAAATGTTGTATATCGAAAAACTTGAATAAAATAAGAGCAGGTACTAATGAGACACGTGAATTGCATGCTCTGTACCAGTTGGTTGATTCTAGGTTCTGTTTTTGCCAGAGCTATCATCAGGTCACTATCGACATCAAGACGATTTCGCTGTTTAGTTTTAATTAAAACTAGAGCATAAAAGCCTGTCTCACATAAGTAAGTTGAAGGAACAGTAGGAACTAGTATTCGTAAGGCAAGAGAGGCATGTGTTGTATTAACAGGTAATCTTTCATAGACGAATCAGCCTTCATTTCTAGAAATTCTACCTGAACTTCTTCCGATAATTGTGACACATCGAGAACAAATGGATTTCTTGGTGACTCTGAATTGCTGTCTCGTTATTATCGGCGAAATTCGTCTTCCAGCGCTTGCAAATGAGTTTTTATGTCAGCTTGTAAATTTGCGTCCAGTATGTTATTTTTAATTGCTTGGAACACTCGAGAAAAAGATATAACATTTTCAGAAGACACTTTTTGATTCCAAAGTTGAAGCTTTGATATGAACCCCTGAATATAATCATAATTGCTTATTATAGTGTTGTTTCTGCCCTGAAGTTTAGCTCATTCAAGGAGTCAAATATGTCAGTAAAATAAGCCAACCTCCATTGAAATGTGTCATCTTTGAACATTGTCAAGAAATCGTGTTTTCCTTTCAACTCAAGAAAAAGAATTTCCTCTTCTATCTATAAGGCGAGCCTTTGGACAGCCTGCGTAGTTCTGAATGGAACAAAAGAACTTTGTGATCAGATCCGAGATCCTCGCAAAGTGAGGTAAATAAACGGCTGTTCAAAGCGCTGCTCTTGATGTAGCTTACAATCCTTATAGCCGAGTCCAAAGTCTGGCGTAATTTCTGTGGCAATGTTTGGAAAGCCAAAGCTTGCCGATGAATAACACAACGTGTACTTACCATTGCGGGATTTTTTCCTTGAGCTTTTTAGCTAGCCCGATCGTACACCTCTCATTGCAGGTGCGCCATCTGCGCAAAGTCCAAAGAGTTTCTTCCAATCCAAATATTTTTTTTCAACAAAATTTGATGATGAATGATATATCCGCCAATGTAACGAACATAAACTATTAACTGTGCACAATTAACGATGTCGGTGGATTCATCGCAACTAATATCAGAAAATGGCGATAATTTTACTTTGTTAATTATTTGTGTCTTTATGTCTTCTGCAATGTCATCGATTCTACGCTTGACTGTGTTATTTGAAAGAGAAATTCTTCTTCTTCATTCTTTGCTCTGCATCTTCTCCTAAAATTATCTGCGTGGCTTTTAGGATCCACGGTTTTATTACTTCTTCACCGATAGTATGACGTTCCTTTTGCTTTGCTATCATAAAAGCTATTTCAACTGAAGCTTTGAGTTGCTGCGATACACCTGTGTGATAACTTCCCGATTTATCCACTCTCATCCGCTTGAGTGATTCTGCTTTAGAAGAAAAAAACTCTTTCGTCTTCAAAACCAGAGTATGATGTTGTTGCTTTAAATACCTTTCAAGACGACTGGGCCTCATTATATCATTACCTAAAACTTTCATACATATCACCCACTGAGGCAATTGTAACTCGAAGGTAAATCCAAACTTAACGTAATTTTCGGAAAACTTTCTTTTTTTCGCTGCCATTTTGCACCTATACTAAGTGACATATAAATCCGAACACCCAGTTTAAATGGTTTTATTTCAATAAAATTTTCTATAAGTACTTAATGAAGCATAATAAGTAAATGATAAAAATTTCAAAATGATTGCACTGCTTTAAAGCCCTTTGACCTTTAATAATGTGTGAATGCACCCTGATGTGCTACGCATTCTCCAACGCGCCTAGGCATGCTTCTGATCATGTGGTCAATGTCCTCCTGTGGTATCTCATTCCAGGCAACCACCAACTCCTCTCGAAGTGCTTCTAGAGTCTGAGGAGGACGTTGGAAATTGAGCAATCTCCTACCCATCATATCCCACACGTGCTCAATTGGGGATAAGTCGGGAGATCTTGGTGGCCATGGTAACAATGTGACATAATTATGTTGAAATAAGTCTATTGTGACTCTTGCAACATGTGGTCGGGCATTATCTTGTTGGAAAGTTGGATCTGCCAGGGTGTCAAGATAGGGTAAAAGATGGGGTTCTAGAACTTCGTGGATATAACGCTGCGCGTTCATGTTACCTCTGATGAAGATTAAAGGTGACCTAGAACCATAAGCTATAGCACCCCAAACCATAACTCCAACAATGTGATGAACATGTCTTTCAACAAAAAACTGTGGATTCCTCCTTTCACCACGTCGCCTTCTAACCCTGGCACGACCATCGTGCATGCCTAAACAAAATCGAGACTCGTCACTAAAGACAATACTGTTCCATTCCTGGTCGCAGAGTGACCGTTGTCTGCACCACTCAAGGCGATTACGTCGGTGTGCTCGAGTTAAAGGGAAGACCCAGTGTGGCCGGTATGAAAACAAGCCAAAACTTCTCATTCGTCGGTAAACACTTCGCATGCCAATAGGTCTTCCGTGCTCTGCAAACCATTCATTTGCAATGGACCTGGTAGTGGAGAAACGGTTCCTTAAGGCCAATAATCTTAGGCGGCGATCTTCACGGTCTGTTGTTCTAGGGCGGCGTCCAGTGCCCCTTGCTCTTTGCGTACGGCGTTCTCGAAGCCATGCCTGACAACACCTAACCACAGTGTCTACACTTCTTTGCACTCTAACTGCAATTGCCCGAAAAGAAAGTCCAGCTTCCCGAAGTCCCACTATACGGCCCCTATCAAACTCACTAAGTTGACGAAATCGTACAGGTCTCCGTACTCTGAGCATCGTAACCGATCGTAAAGGATGTCAAGAACCAAAATTAGTGAATTAAAAAAAGCAGTATAAAAACCGGAATGTCCAACTGATAAGGCTGAAAATTCTTTTACTTGTTATTTACAGTCAGATAAATACATTTAAACTGGGTGTGCGGATTTATATGTCACTTAGTATAACTTAAAGATCCGTACAACATACCCGACTTTCCTCTACATACCAACGTACGTATACATACATACTAACAACTAACATACATACAACAAACAGGTCAAGTTGAACAAAAATCTGTAAAAATAAATCCAGGTGCTAGAAAATATCTTGTTTGGCGGAATAGCTCTCGGTTGTGTCAATCCCGCCGCCGCTTATCTCATGCCCGCCCAACGACAATGGTTGATCCACCTTAGACGTGTGCTTTCTTAACGAATAATAATCATTCCAGGTGTTGAAAGATGTCATGTCTGGCAGAATGTCTGGAGGCTGTGGGCCCTCCACCCGACTCGATCCTGTCAATGCCGCCGCCTCCGGCACCCGCCTTCCTGCTGCCGCATTACCCAGTGGACGCGCCACCCAACGCCAGCGGTTGCTCCACTTTCGAAGTGTGGCCGTTATGTGAGGCGGCTGCCGTGGCTGCGGGGGCAGCAGTGCCACCAGCTGCCCATGACAGGCCGTCACATGTGCTCGTTACCGGAGGGAACTTCGTCGAGCTACCCAGGAAAGGTAACTTGTCTTTGACGTCACAAGAAATGTTCAGGACGATCACACTTAGGGCAGCATCGTCAGTCATTCCTACAATTGTAGGACGCCTTTATGGCCTCTTTGATTTTCGTAGTGTTCTACTGTTCCGTGTGAGCGCTCTATTTTGAGGACAAATGTCTATTTGCATCAAATGGTTCATGTTTTTCATTTGTATCAACTGTTATATCAGCCTGAACTTTCCTACACTTCAAAAAGAAAGCATAGCCTCACAATAGGAGACCGCTGACGCTGACACGGAACAGTAGAACCCCCAGCCTTTCTGAAGGAGAGAAAAGGTTATAACGGGTGTTTTTTTTTCGAGGTATAGAACTTTAAGTTGGCATTACTTTTGATAATGGCGACCTATTTGACAGCTGTCAAGTGATTTATTCTCAGTTTGGTTTGGCAATTCATCATGAATCGGTCACCAACTTGGCTCTGATTACTCAGTACATTTCTGAAGTACTCGACGGTCAGGGACAAGTTGATGTCATCTACACAGATATTCAGAAGGCGTTTGATCAAGTTGATCATTATGCACTTCTGGATAAGCTTAAAACAGTGGGTATGTCTGATGCAATGCTGTCGCTCATGAATTCATATTTGAGGGATAGAAGGTTATTTGTCGAATATGGTGGTCATAGGTCGAGTTACTATCGGGCCACGTCCGGGGTACCTCAAGGGTCAAATCTAGGTCCATTATTGTTTTTCATATTTAAATAAACAGGTGTCTGACCAATAAGTGCCCGCATTGAAAAAAAAAATAAGAGGGATAAAATAAAAAAAAGTGAAAAATAATAAAAAAAAGTGTTTTACTTAAAATAGTACAACAAGCGAGTTCGTTTATTAATTATAACATAAACGTATGTTCTACAATAATTTCACTGTTAGTTTGATTAAATTCCGCTTCTTATACGTTTAAGTTATCTGAAAATAGACAAAAAATTCAGGAATTTTAGTGTGTACCTATCCTTGAATTTTCAGAATAATTTAAAAAAAAATATTTTCTATAAAGGGGGGTTCTTTAAAAAAATCAATGCGGGCACTTATTCCCAATGTGGGCATTTATTGGTCAGACACCAATAAACATAAAATAAACTATAAATAAAATAACATAAGCAACAAGTCAATATTTTTAGTGAGAAGGATGAACCTGATGCTTTAATAATAAATTATCAACATTTGGCTTCAATTTTGTAAGGGTTAATCTTAAATCTCATCGGCTAATGATGTCCAGTCTGTTTCTTTTTTCCGTTAGGATATTGGTAACAGCGTTGAACCCCCTTTCCACTAGGTATGACGATGGAAAGGAAATTAAAAATTTCCTCGCTATATTCCATAATTGCTGATATCCGTTTTTAAACTTAACCTTAAGTTCTTCGCTTGTTCTTAGTTCAGTCAGTTCCTCTTGTATTATGAAATTCGTTTCTTCTATGTCACCATATGGATTAATTATCCACGGTGGTATTACCATAGTCAAAATATCCTCAAACTTAGATTCAAAATCTGAATAGAGGGCATTTAAATGTTGAACGTAAGTTGAAACGTCGTCTTCCTGGCAGCTTGTCTGTGACAAATTGGGGAACTGAGAAAATTCGCCCCGTAAAATATTTTGCTTCATTAATTTAACTCGGGCAAGAAACGCTGATAAGATGGACTTTGTTTTAATCAAATTTAAACTGTCGCCTTTTAATTGCAAATTAACCATATTAAATTTTGTAAACAAATCTGTTAAATAGGCGATGTCTGTTTTCCTCTTCATTAAATTTTCTTTTAAAATTTTATCTTTAGTATCCAGAAACTCTAAAATAGTCTTAAAAAGTGCAAACAATCTTGTCAAACATAAGCCTTTCGACAGCCAGCGTACTTCAGTGTGAAGGAGTAATTGATCAAAGTGTTCTTCATTTTCTTTACACAACTGCGCAAATAACCGCGTATTCAACGCGTTGCTTCGGATTCGGTTTACTGCATCAATGACTAAATGAAGTGATTCATGCAATCTAACACTCAATTTTTTAGCAACTAAATGTTGTGGGTGGATGACGCAATGTATTGCTAACACCCCTGACACATTTTGTTTTAAATAGCTTATAAATCCACGATAACGTCCAACCATGGCAGGTGCTCCATCTGTAGCTACTGATATTATATTTGATAAAGGAATTGCTTTTTCAATGAAGTAATCCTTCAAAACATGAAATATTGATTCACCTTTAGTGTCGGTTATCAAAGTTCTTGCGAATAGCAGTTCTTCGTAGATTTCTAAACGAACATATGCCAATAATAATGCTGCATTATCAGGTAAAGTTGACTCGTCCAGTTGTATAGAGAAATGGGTCGTTTGCAAATAATTACATAAGAAGCTTTCAATATCAGAACTCATTTCATCAATACGTCTTTCAACAGTATTGTTGCTTAAGGGAATTCTTTTAATGATATCAGATGCAGGTTTGTGTAAAAAAGTTTTTAAAACCTTTTCAACGGCTGGCAAAATTAACTTCTCTCCGATAGTATGCGGTTTTCCGGATTTTGCTATAAGTAACGAGATATTGTAAGACGCCGGCAAACCATCATCAGTTCTTTGTGACGTCGAAGCGAACATTCTGTCCAGTGTAGGTCTCTTCTGAAAATTATCTTTGAGTGTTTCAAATTATTTCAAATCTTTCTCTGTTTTATCAGGGTGGCATCTTCTCAGATGATCTTGCAGTTTAGATGGTTTCATAGCGTCATGGCCCAAAACTTTGTTGCATAAAAGGCACATAGGCGATTGTTTGTCCGGCAATGATGGAATGAAGCCAAATTTCAAATAATCAACACTGTACTGTCTAGATTTCTTTTTAGATTCGGACATGGCATCAGTCATCTGTGGGCAAAATTAAATTATTTAAATAAGACAGAAAATCCAGCAGCTGTATATTAAAAATATTTTTTGATTTTTCCGAAAACATTCCATAATTAGAACATCTTCTTGCAGCAATTAGCTCGAATTACGGAGATTGCACTGTAATTATATTACCGATTGCTAAAAACTTTCAAAAAGAAACTATTGAGGAGTACTCGTGTAATTTTGCATGATTAAATATTTAACTACTAATAACTAAAGTCATGATTGGCATAATTTATCTATCTTTGCTAACTACGAGTACAAAACTAAAATTTAATAAAAAATAATGTACTTACTTTTCTCCAGCACTCTCAAACAAAATAACACTGGCTCACTATAATTTGTGTGATATACTATCTGTTTATATTTTTTAAAATATTTTCTTAGCACTTTCCTTTTCAAGATTCAGGAAACGAATAAACGTATTTGTGCCACATTCGTATTTATAGAGTGACGAATTGAACAAGTCAGTGCAAGGTAGCGAAGCTCTGAGACTGCGACTCTCAGGTTTTTACAAGTTCAAAATGTATTGCGACCACAAAGCGAATACCAACATCCTACAACTTACACAATTTTATAAACATATATAATAAATTTTTTACTTCATAGGTACTTTTATAAATAATGTATATATGTTTTGATATTATAAGACAGTATGATGTAAGTAAATAGGTACTATCAGTGTATGTATTGAGATCCACTATCGTGGACCCCCATATTCATTTCATGGACCCCCAAATTTTTTTTTCGCTGACGTAGACCCCTTGCAGGTTGTCATAAACACCTAGGGGTCGATATAAACCACTTTGGGAATCAATGATCTATGCGGATAAGCCACAAACGCTTGACCATTTGGAAGACAACATTCGCCATGTTATTGCCGATATACGGCCACAAATGTTGGAAAAAGTCATCGAAAATTGGATGTCCAGATTGGACTACATCCGAGCCAGCCATGGCAGTCTTATGCCAGAAATCAAATGTAAAATATAATGCCACAATCGAATAAAAAAAAATCATGTCAATCGAATAATCCATCGTTGTTTTATTGCAATTTAAAGTTCTATACCTCTAAAAACACACCCGTTACAAATCAAGGCCATAAAAGCATTCTACAATTGTATTAACGACTAACGATAGGGCCCTTAGACCAGGCTGCAAATAAAAAAATGCAAAATGATGGAAAAGTATTTTATTATCTATATCTTGACTTGGATGGGATCATAGCGCACGCCCATTAAGTGGAAAGAAGTCGCGGCGACATTATAGTCAGTTGTAACCAATTTCGTTGCTGCAAGAAGGAACTCTCTTGCATCGTATGTCTAGGGTGTTTTTCAATGTTTCACAGAAGCTGTTTGGACAGGAAGAAAAACGTCATTGGAGATAGTAAGAATACCATCTATTGCTCCGAATCATGCGAAACAGCAAAACAAGCTGAGCAGGATAAGATTCATCGTATTTTCAATGAAAATAGGATTTATCACTCTCAGCTAGATGACCTTGAAGCCGAAGCTGAAGAAAAACTTGTAAAATATCAAGCTGAAATTCAGGCACTGATACAGCAATCAATAGAAAAATACGAATACATCACTAGATTGAGAAGAAAAACAACCGATTTTGAAGACGAATTTTTTGATACCGAGAGAAGCCTCAATAGTACTATTAGTGATCAATGTAATGTTATTGATAAAGTTAGCAAAGAAAATATGGAGTTACTACAAATTAATTCGAACTTACAATCAAAACTAAAATCGAATGAATGTGATATGATTGCTCTGAAAAAACAGCTTGCTGAACATGAGTTGATAAGAAAATAAATGCTAGTTAGCATCGAGTCCCTCACTAAAGAAAACGAACTACTAAATATGGATTTAAGAAACTTGAGGAAAGAATTATCGTCTACGAAAGAAACTGTTGTTTCTCTAAGAATCGATGAAAATTCCAACGGTGTGAATGGGAATTGTGATTCCCTGGGTTAAAACTACCTTTATAATAGCTTATATGCGAAACTAAAGAAAGATAGTACTGGTCTGTTTTCAAACTTTGAAAGCAAAATGTCGAATTTGAGAACAGCTCCATCTAGTACATCCAACGCAAA